TTGAGGAACAGAATATTCTAAAAAGATTTGGCGTAAATCAGATCAAATCATATTCTTACAGATATTCCTATTTAGGCGCGCTACAATTATGGAAGTAAATATTCTTCCAGATATTTTTCACTATTGATAGCTATTAAAAAGCTTGAAAGCTTTGAATTCAAATTTGGATTTTCAAAAATCATTATTTGTTTGGATTAGGTGTTGTTGAAAATAATCGGGAATATGGTTTGGAGTTTATATCTCAATTTTGAGGGGTTTTGGTGAAGATTAGACTTGGTTTTGACTGAAATTCAGATTGAAACTCGAAGAAGAAGAAGAAGAAGACATATTGCAGAAATTGTAGATAAATTGTAGATTATTTGTATTCTGATTGTAGATGCTTTATTTTCTATTTTCACAAATAAAAAACGGCTAAAACTTCTACAAATCTTCTGAAAAAACGTAATTATGTCAAAAATCACAATTATGCTACAATTGGATGGGAATTGGGATATAAAAATTCAATGTATGCAGTTTGTAGATATTTTGTAGATAAATTGTAGATTATTTGTATTCTAATTGTAGGTGCTTTGTTTTCTGTTTTCACAAATCAAAAACGATTAAAACTTCTACAAATCTTCTGCAAAAAACGCAATTATGTCGAAAATGCCAATTATGCTACAATTGAAATTGGAATTGGGATATTAAAATTCAATGTATCCGGTTTGTAGATATTTTGTAGATAAATTGTAGATTATTTGTATTCTGATTGTAGATGCATTGTTTTCTGTTTTCACAAATCCAAAACGACTAAAACTTCTACAAAATCTTCTGCAAAAAACAGTCTACAATTTATCTACAATTTATCTATAATTTCTGCAATATGTCTTCTTCTTCTTCTTCTTCTTCTTCTTCTTCTTCTTCTTCTTCTTCTTCTTCTTCGAGTTTCAATCTGAATTTCAGTCAAAACCAAGTCTAATCTTCACCAAAACCCCTCAAAATTGAGATATAAACTCCAAAACATATTCCCAATTATTTTCAACAACACCCAATCAAAATAAATAATGATTTTTGAAAACCCAAATTTGAATTCAAAGCTTCAAAGCTATTTAATGGCTGTCAATGGTGGAATTGCTGCTCTCTTGTCTCTTTGAAGGTTTGTTCTTCTTCATTGAGAAAATTTGAAGCTGAAGGTAAATGTGTGTATGAACTTTGAAGATTTGACTTCAATTTTGATGAACTTTGTTGTTCTTCATTGATGAACTTCAACTGGAGTAAAATGGGGAACCAACTTTGTTGAAGGGTTTCTTCAATTTTCTGTGAATTTAGAGGGAGAATTTGGTTTCAGAAGATAGAAAATGGTAAAAAGAACGTGGGTATGGGTAAAACGTGGGTGGGACTGAGGGGTTAGGAGAGAGAAACGTGCAGATTCCTTTAATTAAGGAGTAAAAAATGTACAATTAATTATACCCTTAATTAATTATGGTATAGAATTGGTAATTTAGAATATTAAGTGTAATTAAGTCAAATCTTAAACATTGAGGGTAATAAGATTTCCTATGTGGCATAGGAATATAAAAATCTCTTATTAATATCAAAATGATAAAGATATTTTCAGGGATTCGATTCTGCGATCCTCCCATCTAGACATCTCTTTGGTGCACTTTCTAACCAAAGCATCCACCTGCTTATTTTGTTCCTGGGTGCTGACTCAAATTATTTGTTAGTTTAATATCAATTGTATACATAAAACAGTGGTTCCGCATCAAAAGCAATGGGTGCTAGAGCACCCATATGGCTCCACGTGCATCCGCCCATGATTATGCTGGAAGTTTACGTGTGCTGGAGTTCCGGCATAATATGCTGGAAGTTGATACACAGGTGCACCAATCTCCAGTATATTATGCTGGAACTCTTTGTGTTTCAGCAAAATAGTGATTATTTTTCAATGACTTTGCAAACGCTGCTATTTTTCAATTATCAGTCTGAAAACTGGCTAGCTCGTGCTATTTTCACGTTATTCGACAGAAGCCCTTCCAAAATGTCTATAAGGATCTAGGCCCGTTTGGCTATTAAAAAAATCACTTTTTAAAAAAAAATTATCTTTTTTATCGGAATTAGTGTTTGACTATAAAAATTTCAAATTTCAAATTTCATTTGATGTCGAATTTTGAAAATTTTAAAAGCTCTAAAAAGTTATTTTTCAAAGTTTTCACTTCAAATCACTCCAAAAAAATTAAAAATAGCTCCAAATTGTGTTCATGTCAAAACACAGCTCTACGCCCCTGTTTCGCCATAGATTTTGTCAATTTTTTTTTGGCAAATACCTGTTTGTTTATAGATTTTATCCATATTTTGGCAAATTTCCAAATTCCAAAACCAGCTCAAGAGCTATTTTTCGCCCAAAATATTACCATTTGGTTTTAAAAAAAAATTCAAAAAATTGCCCCAAATTTTTGTATTTTATAAAAAAACCCACTTTCTATTATTATGACCCAATTAATCCATATCTACCCACTGTTCCCTTATTAAGCTCATGTGGCTTTGGCCTTCTCTATAAACAGAAGGAAAAGTTGTGCCAATCCACCGCAAAGACAAATTTGAAGGTAATGTGCTAAAATCTGCTAATGTTTGTATAAATTTTCTTTAAGATTTGTTTCGCTTGTTTGGTATGAATTTTCTTCAGAGTTGTTGGGTATTTTTGATAGTTTTTAAAACTTATGGGTATAAATCACTTTCATATTTTTTCAAAAAAAGTGAAATATGTTTTGAAAAATTATGTCCAAACAGATTTTCATCTTCAAACCAAACTTCACCCAATCAAATTTTTTAAAACAAATTTGTGAACTATGGCCAAATGCTAGCTAAATTTCAAATACTATGTTTACTTGAAAACAAAATTATTTTTTTGGGAATTTCATAGTTCTTTATGCTAAAGCCCACTTAAGATGGTAAAATGACCACTCAGATCGACAGCAGCCCTTCCAAAATGTCTTGTTTTAATATATTATTGCATAGTACTATATATAGAATGAAATTAGCAAAGTTACACCCCACTACACACCTTGTTTAAACAGCGCAATCGGTGAAATTAGTGAGAATTGCAAATGGGATTGTTTTTCTGTAAGGCGTTTAAGACTTATCATATAAAACCAACTTTAGAACATAAAACATTCTGGACTAATCTATGCAGTTTATGAAATTCGTTCCCTCCATAATTAGCGTCAGTATACTGTAATGGGCTAATTTATTGTGTAGCAACAAATATGATATTGACAGTTTAGATATGTTAAGTGAGATATAAGGATGACTAAAGTTGAAGTTTACAGTTAACCCAGGAATAAACGTGCATTTTTTCTTTATTATAGTATACTAGTAGTCGTACCCGTGCGATGCGCGGTCAATATTAAAAAAATATTTGTCACTTTGTTAATTTTTCGATGTTACATTTGGAATTATCACAATTATTTGATTATCCTATTCTATATAAATAGAATAGATATTGTCTAAATTTTAATAAATAAAATCTCCATTAAATTAAAGGGACTTATATAGTAATCAAATAATATTTTCGTTATGTATTTTTATTTATTATACTATCCAATATTTAGTATAATTATATTGTTAATAGAAATTATGACACTTGTCATTATAACATTTCTTTGCCTCTCCTATTATATATATAAAGATATAGATTTCTTTGACTCTCCTACTATATATATTATATATTATATACTATACATATATTATATTATATTATATTAAATAGATTTTTTATTTTTTATTTTAAAATAATTTTAAAACTCCAATTTGAAACTACGCCCCAATTTGAATTAGTAATTCATTATCTTATTTAATTTTGTTTTATATTTTAAAATTATTTTAAAACTCCAACTTGAAACTACTTCCCGATTTGAATGGGTAGTTTTTCTTCTCTTTTTTCATTTTTTTGTTGGTAAATTTTTTTTTTTTGCTTTTTATTTTATATATAAATAGATTGTTCGTTTTTTTATTTCAAAATAATTTTAAAACTCCAATTTGAAACTACTCCCCAATTTGAATTGGTAATTCATTATTTTTTTTAATTTTGTTTTTTATTTTAAAACTCCAACTTGAAACTACTTCCCAATTTGAATGGGTAGTTTTTCTTCTCTTTTTTCGTTTTTTTTATAGGTAAATTTTTTTTGCTTTTTATTTTAAAATAATTTTAAAACTTAAACTTGAAACCACTACCACGAAATTTAAATGGGTAGTTACTTTGTATATATTGATTTTTCGTTTTTTAATTATATTTAATTATAAGATATCTATATTTATTAATCCAAATAAAGTAACCAATTAATATATATATATATATATATATATATATATATATATATATATGTTAGTTTTTTATTTTATTTTATTATTTTCGTTTTTTATATGTATATTATATAAATATATTTTTCATTTTTTTATTTTAAGATAATTATAAAACTCCAATTTGAAACTACTCCCCAATTTGAATTGGTAATTCATTATTTTTTTTTTAATTTTGTTTTTTATTTTAAAATAATTTAAAAACTCAAACTTGAAACTACTCCCACCCAATTTGAATGGGTAGTTATTTTTTATGTATTTATTTTTTGTTTTTTTTATTATATTTAATTATAAGATATCTATATTTATTAATCCAAATAAAGTAACCAATTAATATATATGGTAGTTTTTTATTGTATTTTATTATTTTCTTTTTTTATATGTATTTAAATTCAATAATAAGTAAACAATAACTAATTATAAACTAAATAATTAATTAGTAACCAATTATGCCATGTGGCATTTTTTTAGGCTGCCACTTGGCTTAAGGAGAGGGCTTTTTCCTCTCCTTTTAATAATATATAGATCTTTGATATTCTACAGCTATAGTTATTTCTGGTAATGTTATGATTAAGAACCGCGCGCTAAAGAGGAGGACAATCGCAAGAGAAAAGTATGAATAAGATAGATCGTTAATGAGTGAAATTAATTTACTTCGCATGAACTTCGTATATACTTCACAAAGCCAAATGTAATTTTCTTATTTCAAAATTGAGCAATCAAAAGAAATTTAGAGGGTGTTTGGCTAAGCTTATAAAAGCTCGTCAAACTAGCTTATAATTACTTTTTTGGTTAGTATATCTTCTATGAACGGTAGTTCTTTTGCTCCAAAACATCCTTCAATATTTGCACTTTCCGTAGCCTGAAATTTCAAGATACAATTATACAAAGGAATCGAATCATTAAGCTCTCACAACATGATTTCAAATCAAAGCAACTTAACCATCCCAACTTACTTGGATCTCTAGTGATGACAGCTCCAGTTCCTTTAAAATCACAAGCATAACCATACTTCCACTAGGTTGGATTGCCCAAGTCCATATAAGGAGATCACCAGCCCATTCCCCAATCAATGTGTCCCCTCGCATGCCCAGACCACCAACTGGAGCGTGAACAATATATTATAGGGGCTCAAACGGGAACAGATCTGGCTCTGATACCATGTAAAGATATGACATTTGGGCCTAACTCAACACCAAAAGCTAGCTCATGAGGCGAGGATTGCCCAAGTTCATAAGGAGGCTATCAGTCCATTCCCCAACCAATGTAGGACTCTAACCCACTCCAACACCCCCTTGCACGACCAGACCACCTACCGGAGTGTAGACAATAATCAATGTTCCTCTGTATTGCTTCCTTATTTGCTCCTGATTTCGGAAGACACCATCTTTTTCCTTTAGCAGGTGCAGGTGTTGTTGGATTCATAGGTGCAGCCTTTGGTGTCGAATACGATGGAATCACTTTTGCCTGCAGACCAGAGCCAATTTTACAGACACATCAAGCACACGTACAGGAGTATTAACAAATATGTTCTACTATTAGTGTGACTATGATCATTAACGGGCGCAGCAGCATTGGCAGCATTAGCTACCGTTGGACGTAGGATTCCTATGTCATAAACTGGCGTCATATTAGGCTTGAACAATCCAAAATTTCTTTCACAAGTTGGCCCTGGTTTTAAATCCTCATTGAAGAGTGCAAAAATGTACGTTTCAAATGTCCTGTTAGGCATTAGTGGTGTCCCAACACCAGACATCACGTGTTGCATGAGCTTTCTATTGTATTCCGCCGCGCTTCCAACGTCTACTCCAGCTTGCCCTGGATCTCCTTTCGACGGCCACCCAGTTTCTGCAATAACAATCTCAATATCTTCAAAATCCAGGAGCTTTAGGGCCGAGTAGACGGCGTCTAACTGTGCATCCAGCATGTTCGTGTAGGTGAGTCGTGTGTTTTCGTCGAACACCCCTGGATTAGGCCTGAAGAGTGCATAATCTAGTGTGTTTTGAGAAAAACCAAAAAATGGATATGGGTTTATCATGAATGGTGAATTAGTAGCTCTGAGGAAGTCAAGCAATGGCTTGAGAATATGGATGTCATATCCTGGTCTAAATTTCCCAGTGGAAGGTGGGCTAGAACTTGCGAGTATGCCTAGGGAATGTGGTGTAGAAATTTGGATGAGACGGTCCAAGGATCTTTCGACGAGGGCAGCGTGGAGTGTTTCCATAGCAGGAACTAGGCTCCCAATAAGTAACTTGTTGGCAGTTGAAATTACTTCATTGCCAACAAGTATTCTCACTATGTTGGTGGCGGGGATGTGAGGCAGGACGTTAGTTTCCACCCATTGCCGGGCAAAACTTAACTTGGTAAGGTGTGGAATAAAGTCATTGGGGACGTTGGGAGTCACTGAAATACCAGTGTGAGCAAATGCTTTCAAGATTTCTGGGTTGGCATCAAAGAGTCTCACACTACGGATAAATGTGGATTCAAGGAGGAAGCGCGCAACTTGGACTGGTGGAGGCAGGTCGTCAGCCACTGTGCCGTAATTGATACCAATTGTTCCTTCAACTCCTATTACAAAAAGAGAAGCTCAAATTATATCCTCTGACAGTGTATATAAAGCACATGTTATTGAACTCAGTGGCATGCATTTGAATGCTTTGATTTGATAAACAAAAAGACTTGCTTACCTTGAATGAAAATTGGTGTAAGGATGACAAGCAATGCGCCGAGAAGATGAACTAGGGGTGAGTAGAAGACCTTCGCCATTACTGCGCTTGGTTGTTGCAGGTTGCTGCAAATATGTCTGCATGTCAGCAGCTTGGCTGAAGAAAGGCACCTGTGCTAGATGCTTTCCTTTGGAAATTGGCATTCAGATTGATGTTCTGGGTTGTCAAGGGAGGAAAGGTATATTCATAGAACAACTAGTACAGGAGAGGAATCTCTTCTTTTTCGCTTTGGCAAATATGGATATGAGATACACCCCTTAGATCTTACCATAGGAATATGCTAGTTTTGTCCCTTTTCACATCAAAGACAACGTTGATAAAGGAAAATTGTTGCCTGCTTTTTTAAAGCTTTTACCAGTATTATTTCGAACATTTTGACATAGACATTGGAAAAATATTTTGATGTCAAAAACATAACATTGACAGAAAACAAGGCAAGGGAAAACAGAAAATACGGGGAATAGTCAAATTTAAATCTTTTGACGTGAGTATTTTGAAACTTTAAACTTGTCTATCACAAATTTTTTATGTCGAAAAAGTTCATTGACAGAAACCGGGCAAGAATTAGAAAACATGCAGGAGACATTCTTCAATAGCTTAAAATAAAGGACAAGTTGTACATCTAGGATAAAGGGTAAACCAGTCAGGACTCAGGATCGCGGGAAATTCTAGGATACCTTAGTTTTTTGCAATTAGACATGATATTCCAAATTATCCCTCTGATACACTCACACAGTCCCCCAACCACATTACCTGATGCATATTTCTAACTTCTTATCCATAGACCAGAACAACAAATTGGCCGAGGCGTTGAGCAAATTACAGAGTGTGATTTGCTTCTAGAAACCAACTTAAGTCCATCAGGTTAAACATGTGAAGTTTAACTAGAGTTTCGTGTACAAACAGTGTAAATTACTGAACTTCAAATGAAAAGGGGGGAGCAGACTCCTAGTTGCCTCTACCAGCACAGCTCACCCATTTTGCTATACCAAAATGACAAATATATGAGTAGTAGCTTACATTCAATTATCCCACGGATTATGGAAGATGAATCAAGTATAAGAAAACTGGACAATAGCATACGGTTATCTACATCCCAAGTTAACTCTCCCTTCTTCGTTAATAGTTTTATTCAGACATATTTTCTGAAGATCGATGTAGCCAATGATTGTGTCCTCAAAATCTGCATCTTCAAGTTGAGCATCATTAAAGGTAGATCCAGATAGTACAGTGTTCTTAAATGAAGCTCCCTGGAGGTTGGCTTTCTCAAAGTTCACTCGATCTAGAACAGCATTCGAAAAGTCCGTCCCTGTAAATAGTGAAGAGTCAGATTCCCAACCTAGAAAAAGATGCATTTCTTCGAATGAGGCATACAAGTTAGAAAGCTTCAGCCACTGTTTAGCCTTTCCAGTAAGACGTAATGTGTGGTAGTTGTCAAACTTTGCCCATGGCTACTGTAGAAAATAAGAGAAAGTCTTGGAGGACAATACTACTATGATTTTCTAAAACATATTATACCCCAAATATAAATGCTGCAGCTTTTATTGGTTTTACTTCAGTGAAGAGACAGAAATAAGAAAGTTGGAAAAAGAAACATATACTTAATCGGTCTTAAATTCAGACACGCAATATTCATCTGATGATTATTCTTCTCATCCGTAGTTCTTTTGTCAAAATTTATGGGAGTGATCAAAGAAATTCTTTTTATGGTCCATTTGCAAGTAGTTATGACTATAACAAAAAATTTCTCATTGGTCAGTCAGTGTGGCAATAATGAGAGCATGGATAAGAGACATTCAATGATCAATTTTTCCATTTTATCTTGCTCAAACACGGAATAGTTGAGAAGTACTCTATCATGGTGCAAGTTACTAAATAATTCCTGCTGTTCCAACCAGCCTTGACATTAGAGGCAAATTACAAATTGATGGACATTGTATAAGTTATTATAAGCTGGTTAAAAGACCCTCATCATATATCTCATGAAATACTAGGTTTTCATTACCACATACAGGAATGTTTACACAAATATAACTTGTAATAATTCAATCAAATGCATTCGTTCCTTATCTCCTGCATTTCTTTGTTAGCCTATTGCTTCTTGGTAGGCTTTAAAAACACAAGCAGAGATTTGTTTTCTACAAAAATTGTTATGTTAACTTACCCTTAAAACTAGCTCCAACGGCATAAGCTTTAGACATGATCACTTCAGTCATGTCTGCACCATCAAATATTGCACCAGACATGAGTGCTGCTGCAAGTGACTTCCCCTTGAGGTTATTTTTCTCATTTGTGTAATCACAAAAGCGCAGATCAAGTGGTTTGTCATAAACACCATTGGCTTGACCTATTGTGTTACCAACAAAGGCCCGTGCACACCTATCTGGGTCTGTTGACAATGGAGGCAATCTCTGCAAAATCAACCCAAAAGTGTAAACAAATGATAATCTTGCATCCATGTACATATGAACCAATGACAACTCCTGATAGATTGCTCTGTCAAAATCTACATAGATTATTTCCTATCTTTGGAACACGAGCCCCAAGATGTTCTCTCTCCTTTAATAATACACTTGCACTTCCGTAAATCATCATATATTTCAAACTTCGTCCAATCCAACCTAGACTATAGCGCCTTCACATGAACTATATAGGTTCTTTTGTTTTTTTAAGTGAGGTAACATTGACATATTAACTGTGTAGCTAATGCAACTTAGGTAAAACTTGGTAACAAACTTTTAACATAAACCAGACAAATTTTGGTCTTCGATCCTAATTCATGACCAATCAAGAGAATGATAAAAATCCGAATCTACAGAGGAGTTAATCTGGTTGTGGATTGGAAAAATTAGACTTTGAATTTCTTATGCCATTTGGATTAGGATACTTGTTTGACAAACTAAAAACTTTAATGGCGATAATCATTTACATGAATTCGCTCACACAATTTAACTTGGTATCACCGCTTTTCGTTTAAGTCATGCGCCCATCGATCAACCAAAATATTTCTACCTACGTTAAGTGACACGCTGAAGAGTTAAAACTAAAAAATTAAAAGGATTCTAGATGCAGTGGTTTACAAGACCAATCAATACTGTGACCATTGAAATTAGATAAAATATATCAAATGCAAAGAAATATGTGAAATCGCATAGCAAGAGAGTAACTGTGTGGTATTTCCCCAACCTGACCAGCAGCAATTACGGGAGAAACAGAATTAGCCACTGCCCAAACAGCAAGGAACCCACAAGCAACATTCCTAAGTTGCTTGAACTGACACGAGCTCTCCTCATTATTTGAACCCTCGTTAGTAGCTGCCCCCAGAGGCAACAAACGTTAATCACATAAAAAATTATGATATTCAGATGCCATTTCAGCTTGAACAGTGTGAGATAATGATAATTTATAACTTGATTATGAGAAAAAAGAATCTCTAGAATCGTACCTGAACATTTGAATTGGATGGGTAAATGAAGTTGTGGAGTAGTGAAATGAGGACGATAACTTGAGGAACGACTGAGGGAATGAGATTTATACACCAGAGGAATAGATATGGACGCCATTGTTAGTGAATTGTGAGAGTATTATTGCCAGCATTGGTCTGAACTCATTCCGACTTTATCCATCCATCTGTAGATACTAGATACATTTCCATCCGACGTGGCATCTAGACGCTGCTCCTTTTCCTTTCTTTTGCGTTTTGGCCCCTTTCTTCTTCTACTATGACGTTATGGATCCAATTCTTTTATCCTTTTAGTGACTTTAGTCCTTCTACTTTAGATCATAGGGAGCGAGGGGGCTATTGGAAAATTCAATTGTATTGTAATTCTGGTTTTTGGTCAATTATTAATGATATAAGTGCATTTAAATCTTTAATTAATAAAGGGGTGCAATTTAGTCCCGGGGAGAGTATGTAAATGTGAAATAAAAAAGAGAGGAGTTGCAAATGGAATCTATCTCAAATGATTACTCAACCATTCACAATTACCTACTAAAGTTTATGTTGTTTGTAATATAAATGTCACTTAACTATTTCTATAACACTCAGAAGGTCACTCAACTAGAGTTCTTAAACTTTCGGCGCAAAAATACCTATTTTACCCTCTAAATTATCAATCTTTATTTTTAATATTATAATTTTTTCTCTTTTTACTCTATATTATGGACTTACCTATAGAATAAATATTTTTGCTTATAGAGTAAAATTATAAAACAATAAATTTAGTATTTTATTAGGTAATTTAAAATAGTTGAGTGATCATCTTACTAATGAACTCCTTGCAAATGGGATGTAATTTCTAAGTTGTATGATAATATTTCTCTTTCACAAGTGTAAATGGTGTTCCCTCAAAAGTGGTTAAGAAAAGAACTTAAAGTTAAAGGTGTTAACTTCAAGTTAGATTTAAGGACTAAATTATACTCCTATACTTTATTTCGTTAAAGTTAAATGTACTTAGTCGATTAATATAAATATCAAAATCAGAATAGGCAGTAATTTAGGGACTAAAATTGCTATTTTTCCTACTGTAAAAATATTAGTCTCCTTGACTAAAAGCCAAATAATAATTGAAGAGGAGGGCAATGTAATTTTACTTTGTATGGGTCAAAATCTGACCATGCGTGGATTAGCGCTAACAGGAATGGTAGAAGGACGACTAAGCCGTGGTCGTACCCACATCACGTAATAACAATGAAGACCTCGGCCATTGCTGAGATCGAGCCATCCAAAAGCCTGTATGGTGAAGTAAGTATCGCGATATTTGAGGGAGGCGGCGTGAAGAACAGTTAAAGGATGACGGCACTCTGGTTAAGGACCGACGGACAAAAGGGAATACTGACAATATATATAGGAGGTGAGAAGACAAAAGAGGGGGGCTTCATCTCTCCCAGAAGGGGAGAAAGAGAAGAAAAACCACGAAAGGGTTTAGATAGGGAAAAACAAATCTCTGTAATCATATTTTTTGAATCAATAAAGTTAGATCTCATCCTCAGCTATTGCACTCTATCTCTTCTGTCTTAATCGTTGCATTAGAGGATAATATGTCAAGAATGTAAGCCTATCATTTACATTTAATATCTTATGAAATTTATAAGCTTGATCATATCTTACTCTCTTGTTCAAGGCGTTTAGATATGGAGTTAATTATCCTTGGCTAAGATTTATCCTTTATTTCATCACTAATTAGTTCAACAAAAGGTTTAATACTTTTTTGTCAAACAATTTGACGCCATTTGTGGGAATTTCTTAGCCAAATTTTTAGTTTTCTTAAGATCTAATACCAACCAAGTATCGCTTCCAGGCTGTCATAGCCTCGCCATCTCGGTGTAAACACTAACTCGAAAAAGTAATAGATAAGCTTTTGAGATAACCGGACCAATCTAGGCCAGATCCCTGCACGAAACAGAAATTATGCCCGATGTATGTGCAAAGCCCACGCCTCATCTGTAGCGATGGGTTTGGCACGTCATATGCATGTTTAAAGTAGGATCACAATCACTATGCACTTAACACGACTGTAATCCCATTTAACGTTTTCACCTTATGTACACCGTCCTGCACTTCCACCCCCTAGGAAGGGATGATAGCCTACTGTGTGATTCTTTGAGAAAACGTGCACATCCTGCCTTATTTTCGTACCCACACGCACTGTGTGATTCATGAGCAAAGTATGACGTTCCCTTATTGTTTGCACATATCGGACGGGATCTGATCGGGACTCGGTCTCGATATCCCAACGGTCAAGTTAAGTCCAACCCACGAGAGGCCTAGACGCGACTAACGACGAAGCCGAACACGGCTGCCAAATCTGAAACCGTCACTCGAGCACGAGGCGAAGCGAGCGACCCTACAGCGCCGATCCCCCTCTCACCAATTTGCCAGGCCAAGGTAACGAACAGTTTCGTTTGGGTTTAACTTACCATGCTCTCTTTGGTTCAGAACAAGAACACAGGCATTCTCACAGGTACGCAAACAAGGGATGAATGCCACCAAAACACACCAGGAAAAGGTTCCGCACCAAATCATCTCGCGAGCGATGACCGAGCAAAGCCCTCTAAGCCGTACCTGTGACGACCCGACCCGTCGTCTCATGAGAACCGCTCCGTTTCCCCCATTTCCTGCTTCGTTATGCTTCATTATCAGTGTCTTGTGTGAACGAGTTGAATTGGGTTGATTTTTGGAAGGAAATGAGACACTTAGTCTCTTTAAGGAAGGCTTGTTTTGGAAAAGTTAACCGGATGTGGACCTATGAGTTAGAGGGCTCGTATGTGGATTCCGACAAATCGGTTAGCTTCGGGGGATGATTTGTGACTTAGGAGTGTGATCGGAAGTGATTTTGGAGGTCCGGTGTAGAATTTGGCTTGAATTGGCGAAGTTAGTATTTTGGCGAATTCCGGTTGATAGGTGAGATTTTGATCCGAGGGTCAGAATGGAATTTCCGAGATTTGCTGTAGCTTCGTTAGGTGATTTGGGATGTGTGTGCAAAATTTCAAGTTATTCGGAGGTGATTTGGTTGGGTTTTTGATCAAATGCGTGTTTCGGAAGTTTTAGAAGAACTTAGGCTTGAATCCGATGTAAATTTGGTGTTTTGATGTTAATTTTGGTGTTTTGAGAGTGCAACTAAGTTTGAATGATCATATGTGACGTGTTAGTATGTTCGTATGCTGTCCCGAGGAGCTCGGGTGAGTTTCGGATAGGTTTGGGCTGCGTTGTGCTCGTTTTTCTTATGCTTCGACGTCGTTTCTTCAAGCATAAATGATATCATATTGAACAAATGAGCTCCGATTACTGTTTTGAATGAAGCATTAGATCCGTATCGTAATTATGGACCCGTAGCAAAAAGAATCGTCGAATTTGGATATCGTATGAGGATTTTATGGCCATTTTACCAAGGTTGCCTAGATTTTCAGGTTAATGACGAAATTACCCCTGACGGCGTATTAAAAACCTGCACTATTTGCAAATCTTAAAACCTACATATCTCCTTTATTATAACGTCAAATTGAGTGATTCAAAAGCCTAAATTCATTAAAATTCCACAAGGAATCCATTGGGAGCAGTAAAACGCGTGATTAGTATACCTATAATGAGCAGGTCGAGTTTTCTTCAAATTTTTGAACGGGAAGAAGCTTCTGAGGCGAATTTTAAGAGAGAAAATCAGTGGGTATCACAGAGGTAAGTGATTTGATTATTAAAACTCGTTTATGGGTGATTATAAACCATAATTCCAGCCTTTAATTCATGAAAAATAATAGAAAAATAGGATTTTGGGGCCTGAGATTATGAGGCCTTTAGGGGTCGATTTGAGGGGTCAAACGGACTCCGATTTTGGTGTTCTTTATATGTACGGAATCGGGAGAAGATGAAGAGCACTTTTATGTAAAAAATTTTGAGTTTCGAGAAGTGGGCCCGGGGCTCGGGTTTTGTCAATTTCGGGATTATTGATGTTTTTCGATTATTTTCAATTGGGTATTGATCCTATAGCATAATGTGACGTATTCGTTGTGGTTTTGGTCAGATTCGACGCGCGAGAAGGTCGATTTGAGAGGCAAGGGCATAGCGAGCTAGGATTTTGGTCGGCTTGAGGTTAGTAATAGATGTAAATGCTGTGTTGAGGGTTTGAAACCCCGAATTTGCACATTGTAGTGCTATGTTGAGGTGACTTGCACGCTGGATAACGGCGTGGGGTAGAGCACCGTCGGGGATCGTGACTTGGTCCGTCCCGCTTAATAAAATTACTACCTAATTGATTGAAGCTTAGTAGATATCCTTATAAAAATGGATTAATTATCATAATTGGGCTTCGTGCCAGCTGCTTGAATCCTTTAGGGATTGTTTTTACTGGTTTCTTACCATATTTACAGATAATTGAACTCAGTCCTAGTATTTAATACTGTTTTGCAAACTCAGCCACTTTTTCTCAAAACTTGGAACTTAAATAATATTTCTAATGAAGTTTGGGCTGAATATTTTATATGCTATTATGCCCGAGGGGCTTATGTGATTCTGGACTGAGTGTGAGATCGGGCTGCGCGCCGCAGCAGTATTATATTGATATTGATATGAGGCTTAGGGCCTAATGGATGCCATAAGATGGCTTGATATTGCGCTTGGGCCGTAAGGGGCCCCTCCCGGAGTCTGCACACTCCCAGTGAGCGCCGTCGACGATAAATAAATGGAGCGGGCTGCACGCCGCAGCGGGTACTAGAGAGTACCGTACTATTTGTTGCATTTCTTAATTGATTGTCATTCATTTACTTATCTGTTGCAGCATCATTGTTTTTATTGGTTTATTGAGTCGATATTATCTGGATTAAACTGCTGTAATTATAGCTTACATTGTGCCTATCCAGGATTTCTTACTCTCAACCCTTATTTATGTTTATTACTCTCTGGGTTGGAAGTACTCACATTACTCCCTGCACCTTGTGTGCAGATCTAGGTGCACCCACTGAGGCTGAGTGAGGATTTCTCTGCCGAGCATCATATCTGGGAGCATCAAGGTAGCTGTATGACGTCCGCAGTCCTGATCTTTCTTCTATCTTATTTGCTTTATTTCCGCATTTCTAGAGAACGATATGTAGTAGGTTGATACTCATGTATTAGAGGCTCAGACTTGTGA